ATCCATGGGTGACTCCATACTAAAAGTTTCGCAGCTGTTTCTCCAGTCAGGCTGCGACTGGAGATGACTTCATATTTTGGTGTACATGAAGGTGATGGGCGAGAGCCAGCTCCTGCTTATCGAGGAACATCTTGGGTATCTTCCGCCCTGGTACTCGTATCCACGTCCTCTGTCTGGGCTGCGAAAACTTTGCTGATATGTGACTCGGTCGAAATGTCTTTTTTTGCCCCCCCCCTGTATACAGGAGGAGAGGGGGGCAAAAAAGACACTTTTCTTCCTCGACTTTCGAGGCGATATAAGTTACACTTTATTAAATTCTGATTGGACATTTTCACCATCAAATTCAACAACACATTGTACACTATCACGAAACTCCGCCACAGCCTTCTGGACGAACGCCATCGAGAGATTCTGCCACGCGACCGTGAGTGGGTGCCTGAGTTCAGCGAGGTCGTTGATTTCTCCGCCACTGTAGACCACCCTGTTGAGCTCCTTTCTAACCCAGCAATCAAGGTGACACACTCAGATATTCCGTCTTCTTCACGTACTAACGTCTTTCGATTCCAAGTAGGCGAGAGTTTTCCAGCGCCCTTCGACTCAGGGCACGCCATCGCGTTGTGATCACTTTCCGCTAAATTCGACTCCCCCAAAAATAAGGCTCTTAATACGACCCCCTGTCATGAGGGTGGGACCGGAAAAGAAGCGCAAAAGGGACGAAGAAAATGACAATAAAGAGAACTAGGCACTATTGAACTATTCCTACCCCAAGAACTCAAAAAAATTTTCGCTGAAACTTTGTCTATAGATGTTATTCGATGTCCTGATCACGAGTATGACATCATTTCCATACCAGCGCTATTTAGCGCTCTGCTGAGGCTGAAACTGGGAAAAGGGAAGATTCCCCTCAGGCCAGGCTCAGTCTTAGCAAAGCGCAGATGACCATAGTGTCGTACGTTAACGCCGGCGCCAAGAATAAATGTCATATTCGTAGTCAGGATGTCAAATAACCCCCGTATACAAGTTTTAATCGATTGCAAGTTATATAATCGATTTTGGTCTACGCATTCGATGCATCCTCATTCAGAAAAGTCCGCGCGCTTAGGACCCCCCCCTCGAGGTAAAATACGAATCCCTCTGTGATGATCACAACGATGACATGCCTGCTTCGACTACATGTGGTGGCACCCAATCCTGTAGCAGTACGAAGTTTCCAAGATGGTACAGGCGACGACATGAAGGCAGGATATTCTCCTCGATGTAACCGTCAGCGTTCACTTTCAGTCCGGGGTCCACGAAGAAAATATCGGTCTTCCCATTCCAGGAACTTCCGGTCCATACCATCAACCGCGCCTTGGCGACTGCGGTGAAGATGATATCCTGGACCGTAGCGACGTTGTCGGAGCTGCTCGATGTTGGAGGTCTCCCAATATTGTAGGCCAATATTAAGTGTCTTCAAATTTTTGCTGCAATTGGTTCTGAATAAGTTATAAAGCTTCCAAGCTGCCTTAAAATGTCTCTGTAGTAGTTATCCAGAGCACTTTGTTGTGGGACTTGACGTTAATATTGCCAGCTTCCGTAGTAGTCTGCAGCCCCTGCTACCCTTGCCTCTAACACGCTTGCCCTTGTAAGCCACCCTGTGAGCCTACATAGCCTATTTTCTGAAGTTCAGGGCGCACCTTTGCTTCGAATGCCGCGGTTTCTCCCTCACTTCTCCTTTGCGTGTTTTTTGTTTCTTCTTATCCATATTAATTATTATTGATCTGATCTCGACGAAAGGTATTCGGACAACAGCTGGAAGATCAATTTGTACAGAACTGTTGCTGTGCTTGCCAAGGTTCTCTGAAATTTACTGTGTGCGCCTCTGCGAAACGCACCTTATACCCTGGAAAACGGGGTAATTGCTTTCAAAGATTTTAGTTTTGAAGTAAAAAACCCGTCATCCTCACATAGTCACCCTCAAGACTTGTGCGGTCGCTGATCGTGTTATTGCTAGAGCGGGCGACAGAAAAGCAGTAATTCGTCCGTGCAGTGGGATCAATTGTTTAGTGGTCTTTTTTATGCTGGAGCGACACGATGAACATCATATTATTCGCCCAGTGCTTTCACAAAAAAAGTTCGACCATCTGGTCGGCGGTTGTCCAAACGACCGTTTGATGGGATGGGAACTACAGAGTGATCGCTCTGGTCCAGCGATCACCATCGAATCGGCGATGTACCAGGCCAGCGTGAATTTCTAAATTTTATCCAGGGCGTAAATGGACCTTATTAGATTAGAAGATGGGCAGGATGCCAGACTGTGAGACTGCAGCGCTTATCCTCCTACACTAGCGGCCGGCACTGACTGGTACCCATAAATGCGTTCCCGCCTATGGCATTAGAGCGCTTCTGCATCGGTAGCGCGTCGTAGCGAGTCGACGCGCGTCAACGCGATCTCTGAGCGCTGCTTGATAGACCACAATTTCCAGAGGTCGGAACTGGAGCCTTCAACTCAATTGCAGGGGCAATTTTCATAAGGCCATCAGGAGGTCGATTCGATATGAGGTGCTCGACTGCCCCTACTTTGACCGTCATCATGTCGAAATTTCTCCTTTGAGACCTAACAGATAGACACGTCTTCCATGAGGGCTCATTGGCCGAATTTCGCCGCGCAGGGCGACTGCGTGATTGGATTTGTCTCTTGGGGAATCGAAGCGTCAGTCATTATCATGGGCGATTCTGCTAGAATTGTTCAGCAGTCCTGGAGACCCCTCTGTAAAGAGCAACAGTCAGTACTCTAAGAAACCAGTCTACAGTGGTATCCTGGGTAGCGGAAGCAGCACTGTTCCCACGCCGTCGGGTGTGCTGGACCGATTCTTGAATCGGCTGGCGCCCAGGCAGACCAAGCCTTCCCATCTCAGTGATGAAGTTTGACTGCTAAAGTAGAGAAGGAAGGATGGATCTTCCTCACTGACTAGTCCTTTTTTGGGATTTCGATGCGAGGACTTTATCCTTCATCCTTTTAGCACGACTTTACCAGCTAAGCTGATCATCAAGAGTCCTGGGAACTCAAGCTCTGGCGAGTTTAAGGAGACTCCAAAGACGCTGAGGTTGAGACCAGTGTCCGATCTAGATGCCCACTTAACAGGCCACACGATTTACAGGTGTTTTCGGTGAGCAATGTGTTATTCGTTCCTCCCTACACTTTTGTGTACAAAGAACTTCATGAGTCGGACCAGCACTCAAGTGTTTTGTCCCCCATAACGGGACATCCTTGATTGAGGGCTTCTTCGAAGCACATGGGGTAGAGAGCGCCCAGCACGATCATTTGCCTTGAGACGCCCACCGCGAGGGATTCCTAGTCTGCGCAATCATTCATCATTTATGTGAATCGCTTTGAAACGAAGATACTGCGTGTCATGCACCAAGAGCTTTCCTACTATTGAAACGAGGTGCCTGGCCTAAGTACCTGTACCTAAGGATGGTGCTACCGGGACGGAACTGAGATCCGTCCGTTTGCGTGCCGTTGCCGAATTTCCCTCCTTCTGCGTACTACCGCCCTCCTTTACCCATCCCCGGGTTCACCAGCCGTGTTCTTAAATTTCTTCAACCTTCCTATCGCTCTTCCGGAAATCCTTGTATCGAAAGTTCTCACAGGTTTTCTCCACAAAGCCCTTTCTGATGGGAATGCGGAAGACGCAATAGCCACATGTGAAACGCCGGAAAACTCGAGAAAAGTCAGTAGCCCAGAAACATTTCTCAAGGGCGAGTTATGACCATAAGACCCCACTCCTTCCCGTTACCAAATGCCTCCCTGTCGCTGGGAATCCCCGACGACGCGCGATGTGCCCTGCTTATGAAATTTGACGGCGAATTGCGTTGTCCTCCAGATACCATCTCGTTGAAGAGAAATAGGTACTGTTCGGCTTGATGGGGGCATTTCGATGGTCCCCATTGATCATGAGATGCGTTTTGTGCAGACATGTAACCTCCTGTAATGCTATGCGAAAGCATGAGCTTCGTTTACTCTTGACCAGAGTCCCCAGGTTTCATGAAGGTGAAACGTGCAGCTTAACAGAAACTAGCGAAGTGCAAAATGCCCCCTCCTAGCATAATGGCGCCGAAAAATACCTTACTACGTGCGATGCCTTGCAAACAGACCATCCGCAGCTTTTTTTTCTTGGCCGATCGATTCTGTCATTTTTATTTGCAGTACCTGGTCTGGGCGCGAGGCCAGGATGGGCGCGCTGATAGCCCATTCCACGGACCAGGTGGGTGTTCGGCGATGAACAACAAGCGCGTGACCCCCCTGAATGATGGCTGTAGTTCGCGTAGTACTACGCCTTCGGGGAATTGCGACATTTGGCTGAGTATCGGAGCGCAGCCTAAACATCGGATACTCAGCCATCCGTCAAACATTTAGTGCAGCCGTATCGATCGGCCAAAGGGTGGCCCGAGCTGTGGTCCGTTCACGTCCCGTCGTCGTCGTCGTAGCTGCCGCCGCCGTCGTCGCCATTCCAAATGAGTAAAACTGAGTGAGTTTCAAGAGAGTTCACATCTCGTTCGAAGTGTTCAGACAACGTTTCCCGTAGAGTGTTTACTTAGCGCGCGCGGCCCTTCGCCCCGGCCCGACCCTTTCATATCGTCCCTGTTTCGGTTCGTTTAACGGCGATATTTCGAACTGAAATCTCGCGTCATGTCCGAACTGTCTCAACCGATGTTCCCAAGATCTCGGATCTATGACGGGTGGGTCTGGCGTCGATCATGCGCCTTTATCTCTGCTTTCGATCACTGGTCTTTTGTTATTGCTTCACACTGTGAAACCTTTTCATTGATCAAAAACTACTTCAAAACTTTTTGATCAATTGGTTTCTCGTGAATAGCATACTCATAACTATAAATAGATACTGTTTGATTCGGCAATACTATTTTATCCCGGAAAAGCAAAGGGAGAACTGAATACTTCTCTTTACGGTCAACGATTACACATTATTTTCTTCCACACATGGAATTTAGACTCCTTCTAACATTGTAATCATCATTTTGAATGAAAATAAAACGTTACATGTCCAAAGGGATCGTAAAATATGCTAGCAGGCCCTTATACCTGCCTCACCCGTTACTCGTACTGTTTCGATTCCAAGTTTTGAAAATCTCATCTTTTTTGCTGTATGATAATACAAGGGGGTAGATATTTTCTACCAGGAGATCAGCATTATTGTTGCTTTTATTGAACGTTTTCGGGTGATTAATTATTTTACAATTCAGTTTTTGTTTTCTGTTGTTAGCGTCATCTCGCTTGCGTGGGAAAAGTTTTTGATTCTATTCGTTTTGAGTGAGCTTCAAAATATGTAGCACAAACTTTCGAGAGCGTTGAACTAACTTTCCCTATATTGCTTACCCAAAGCGTTTTGGGTAATCTATAGGTTTTATTATCTTTAGTCTTATTATATGGGTGTACCTCTTAAATGTCAAACTTTTCGCTGATTTTTTTTGCTGATTTCCACATTTACATTTATTCATATATTCACCCAATTACTATAGACTACTAACTGATCTGTTCGATAATTAACTAATCCACAGCTATGTTGATGGTCTGGAAAGGATCTCACTCGTAACTTTAACCAAAAATATAAGTTTTCTTTCGTACATGGTTGAGCTAACCAATTACCCAGAGAAACGGCTGGTTTTTCTTTGAGTGATTTGAAAGTCACAACAATCACACGAAAACAGCTGCGGAACTACCTGGCAAATACTCACTGTTTACATCTTGGTCACACATTTGCACAACGTACTCAAAATTGGTGATTTTTTTGCTCTTTCTCTGATCTACCATTAGTTCTCGATTCTCTTCCTTTTGAAATAGTGCAATTCCTTAGTAATTATTGGGGTGCTTTATTTCTTACATCGGCTGATTTTTCTGACACAATACTTCCCTTCAAAAGTTTCAGTTATGATAAACTCGACATTTCTTATCACTAATTTGTAGTAATTATTCTCGAAACCGCTTAATGTAATGAAAAGTGGCGTTTGAGGTTTAGCGGCATGTAATCTGAGACGACATGACACGAGTTCGTTTCCCGTCCAACTTTTGGTTTGGCGCGCCATATGTTAGGAATTCACGAGGATTTTGTTCATGACAAAGTCAAACGTCAAATTGTTTGAAAGTTTTCCCCTGTGTATTTCTCTAGCCACTAACTTTTAGGAAAAGAAAGTTCACTTGAACAATGCTTTTAAAGATAAATCGATCTACTCATGGTTATTAAAAGCAGGCTAGTAGTGGCACTTCCCTTAGCGGTAGAGGACATTCAAAATCCAAGCATTCAAAAGACTCACTGTGTAAGACTACTAAAACTGGATAATCAAATGTCGTGCTTGAATATCGTATTTGATTTGGAGCGGTAACGTAGGGTGGACAGTAGGGTAACTTCAGTAGGGTATAAAACCATTAACCTATCCAAAGTCTCTGCAAAACCTTTCTGGAGGCTGTGGTCATTTGAGCTCTAGCCCTGAGCTTTTCCGGGAAAGTATACCGAGGCGCGGTTTGGTGATCTCTTCCAGCTTCGTTAGCGCCAAAGTTGGTAAACCTTTTCCGTGATTTATCGTACTTGGTTCTCCCACCGCAAGGTTCTTCCCTTCATCTACACCTAAGAAGTCCTCCAGTCTCTTCAATGGCTGCGTTCATACTTTGCGACCAGCGTCCACCACCGTTTCGAGCGTTCGCCGGCACAGGCAAAGAGGAAAGCATAGACATCAATCAAGCGAACGCCAGCGTCCAGGAGTAGAGAGTATGGGGAAGTAGGAGGGTAGCAGACAGCTGGATTAGGCGTCGTGAAATTGCGGCGTGTGCAACCGCACCGTACAACTGCTAGAAGCACAGTATCATGCAATTTTAAAGTACGGTATAGCGCGTTGCTGTTGCCCTCCGTAAATTCGTAGCGCCTAGTCCAGCTAGCTGTTACCCTCCTACTACCCCACACTCTCTACTCCTGAACACAGGTGAGCTGGCAAACGCTGAGGAACGCTGCCGCGAAGTTTGAACGCAGCCTGACGGTAATCTCGGTACTGTACAAGGAGCCATTTGAATGCACAGAATTGCACCGCTTACCATTTCACTGACTTCGCTTGGAGATGGAAGGCAGCCAGTGAGGGCAATACAAGTTAATGCTTCAGAATAGCTACAGCTCTATATTCGAGATATTGTCAATCATATTAATGAGAATTGTTAGTCATATATCAATCCAGCGCATGAGTTGTTTTCGACGAAACTCGGAACACCGTAACCCTGTTTGCGAGATTATGTGAGAACTACTTCTTTCAAGAGGAGCTCGAAATGCGAGCAGCGGGAGTAAAAAGTGCAGACAATAGTTCATGTGTAATGCCCATTCAATTAGCCGTGCGAACTTGAGAACTCCAGTTTCTCAGACGGGTAGTAGTTTTCGAAAAGGAAGCGACGAATAAAATGAAGATATGAATGAAGTAAAAATGTTATAACCTTCGTATCGCGCACTGGCGATAAACAGCAGTTATCAAACAGTAACAGCTTAATAGACGTAAAAATGATTTTTCAGTTACTACTCAGAGGAGAAGACATTCAGTGCGGCAGCATACACAAAACCCAAACCTCCGCCGATTTCACAGACGAAACTAAGCGGACGAGGGCTAAAGGTAGGTGAATAGCGGCTGTTAGGCAGTCAACTGAAGTTGGGCTGAATAATTTATTGCTTGAAACGCTTGCATGAAGTGCGGTGAGGTGATTGGTTTACTTTTTAACTTGTGTGGGAGGTGAGCTAGAGCAATTTTACTGGCCTGAGTTCGTAGTGCATTTCGAATGAATGGTTAGTGCTGCCCAATTATTCCTATTCATCTCTTGTCTATGTGGTCTGCACATTTTGAACTGATCTTTGTTCTAGGATCTCGATGATCATGATATCGACGGTTTACTCTCCAACTTGAGCATTGAAGAACTAGAAGATCTTAACGATGATTTTGATCCTGACGTAAGTCTAGAAGGTTTTACTTTTATTCATTCTCCGCAACTTTATCTTCTTCTTTGTTGATCCGTGAGTATGATCTGGTCCATTTTTTTTATTAACTGTACCTGCAGATTTTCTAGCTTTGTAGGGCGGCACCATTAATTTAAGGATAGCCTTTTTCTCGACTCATGGGTTGGTCTTTTCGGTAATAAATTTAGTCAAAGGCAACCCTAAATTTCTGGAATGGGTGCCTGCTGGTGCTTTACAGTTTTTGAACTCTTTACACTGATACTTTGCGGTTGGCTGCAAAATCGCGACGTTCATCATCTCGGCTCTATTTATAATCTGGAAAGGTTATTCCCATTATAAATTTACCGACGAAATGCAGCAATAAAAAGATGCCCTTTGGTTCGCCCCCGTAGGTCTGCGATACGAAGGGAGGAATAGTCGGAGTACAAGGTTTTTTTTGCCATACTGAGTACTTCGCGTTGAAAGACCAATTCTATGAAAGAAGAGAAGTAACAGTCACTATAGTCCCCGTATGTGCATGACGCTTCACAGGGATTCTGTCTTCTCGGGCGACAGCAGTGAAGCCTATTTCGGCGAGGTTCGCCTCAGGTAGTAGGGAGGAGACGTGGGAAAGGGATTTTTGGAGCTCCTCTTACCTCTTAAGAGCTGTGAAATATTAGGAATATAATCTTAAAACTCTTTGCAGAAATTAACCCGCTCATGTTGGACATCCTCCCGCACGTTTCGGCAAAAATCACGGCAGGCTCACAAGACAAAAAAAGAAATGGTGTCGAAACGAAGTTTGCGCGATTTTGTGGCAATATTAGCAGGACGCATCCTTCATTGTGGAAATAACAACAGAAGGGGGTCGCTTCACTTGCCGCGAGATGGGCAGGATCGTATACAGTCTTGGAAGTGATCCTTTCAAATTGTTATTTTCCCTGATTCCTCCCTCTCACGCTTTGCCCTATATCTTTCCCTGCTTAACTGGCAAGTAGTGGAGGAGGGGTCTTACCGAGGGGAGGGAAATCTGGGGGAGGGTCGTATTCAGCAAAAGTTCTGCACAGTGCAATGATGAGCCGTATTTATAAGAGTTTATAGGCATCAATGGCTAGCTGTTGACAGATATCCTCTAAATGGCCCACGTCCAGAAAAAAAAGAAACGAAAAAAATATATATATGATGTAATAGGAAAAGCGATGTAATTTTTTCGGAATACACATTGTTTATTTTAATCCTACTCGACGAGCATAACTGTGCTATAATTTTTCCCTGGAATATTTACTCATTTATATTCCTAGACTTCAATTATATGAATTTTCTAAAGTGAGAATTTTTTCACAAAAGGAACCACCTACTTCAGAAATATCGGATTGATGGGGATTTTTAAATGTGCAGTTGACTTTCTTTCTTCGTTTGAGCTTTTTAAAATCAATTTTAGCGATTCCGTTTTTTGTTGTGATTGAAGAATTGACCATGCACAAGTAAATTGCATACTTCTGCCGCTAAAAATCGAATTTAAGGGAAGTCCCTGCGCCCGCAGTTCTGAGAGCTGAAATACAATATTTTTTCCTATAGGGTTCTTGAGTACATTGCGCGGATGGTACAAGCCAAATTTGTAAACTCTCATCTGCGCCCTATTGATTCTAGTCACTGCTCTCAATGATTTATCGTTTCCGACTGTAATGTGTAAGTTCTGTCGACATGAGTGGTGTTGTCTTCTCAATCGATAGCATTGCAAAGTTTGCTGTGCGCGATTTGAATCGAGATATGTAAACATTGCGTTTGCCTATAATAGCCCGATTCGAGTTTGCACACCTCCACAGACCAGAAAGGATATGCGAGGTGAGCATTCGTAACGCGTTGAGTGGTTACACTCCCACTCCCATATAGTTTGTTCTTGGTGGAGGATACGGTCATCCGATCAAACTTTATCTTTCTGTGGTTCAGATGGCTAACGGATGGGAAAATAGCATGGTTGAGAAAGTGTTGCGTTGAAGGGGGGAAAGGGGGGGGAACAAAGAAAGGGGGTTTCTTTTGTCGTGTGCAGCTTGAAGAAAATTCCCTCAAACAAGTGTTAGGGGTAGTAGGTGCTCAGTCATGAACAGCAGCCCTTAAGTGACCTTCCAGCAGAGAGAGATCCGAGCAAAACCTTGAGAACACTCTGAACAGAGACCCTCCTAGCAGTGGGGTCGGCACCTCAGACGGGCTTGTCGGACGTCGGCAAGCTCAATCAGCAGGATTCGACGTGCAACCATTCCCGGCAAGAGCACAGGAAATCACCCTACGACGCTCCAGGCAACGCTATGTACACACGCATTCCGCTTGTAAGCCGTTGTCTTGCAGAGTGAAAGTAATCGTGGTTGCAATAATCACGCGTCTCTAGCTTCTTTATCTCGCCCTTTCGAGTGACGAAACTGGTATATTCTCCGCGAATGCAGTCAACGATGCCAATGATCTGTGCCAAATGCACAAAGGCAATTCGCGGATAACTGTGTCGCAGGAACTGTCTTTAATGAAAGCACGGTGATCGTCAAATCGTCGAAGTGATAAGCAGAAATGTTCTCATCAGTCGTTTTTCGACGAAGCAGCCAGCTCAGGACGGGTTCATACCTTGAGGAATTGAAGAAATCGCGAAAGCCAGCGTACGCGTATCGATCTGGAGAATCAAACAATCAACAATTCGTGGTATTGGAAGATTTTAGGAGTGTACGCAAAGAATCATATCATACCGATCTGGAGAACTGAATAATCGGCGAATTGAAGTACTGACTAATTGTGGAAATAGAGAACTGTGTACATTAATCTTCCCGGTTTCTTCAAGTGAGTTCTTCACTGTCGTCAACTATGGACGCGATCTTATTGTTGCACTGAAACCAACACTGAAAACCATATAAAGTCAATGGATGTTCAAATTAGAAGCTGTATGGGAGGTCTCCACTTTGTCCCTTGTTGTGACCTCTTCATGATGTCGAATATCGAACTGCTTCTCCAAACGAGGTTGATGTTCGTGATATACTCGTTCCCACATACTTGTTCCCACCTTCACCATTTCCTTGCTTGTTTTTTTTCTCATGATTTGGGAGATTTCGCCCTTTTGCAGCAAACCACTATACCCCTTCCTTCTCGAGAGATTACGTGAGTGATTGTTTACCCATGAAAATGGGTCTAAGCTGAGTGAATATGGCCAACCAAATGGTTCACCTAGGTTTGTAGCGTTTGAATTTGGGGCCAGGTTTGAACGTGAAAAGCGATGACGTTTTTGCTTTTGATCTGGAGACAGTCCGTTAGCTAATTCCATTATTGTTTAGTAAAGGGTACCATAATCGTATTAGTTATTAGCGATCTCCGGAGCGAACCATTTATGAGCCTTTCATACGATAGCTGGACAATTTTCTCTCCTTTAAAACGCACAACCTTGAGGAAGAACGCTCGAAAAAGTTGGCTGTGTTGGTCAGTAGTGCTGCTGTACGAATTTCGTATCTTGAAAATAGGGATACCTTTTCTGTTTTTTTTTTCAAAATGAAATTATCCGGTTTGCAGTTTGTATGGAAACAATTTGCTTCAAATCTCCAGCGCTTGCTTCAATATACTTCAAAAACTTGTAAAGCCTTCGGCCTTGCGGTTCCATGCCAATATCTGACGATTACGGTTAAACGTGTGAGTGCTGTAAGGCTACGGCATAAAAGCCGTTAAGCTGAGAGGGTAAAAGCGGCCCTGGTGGCGTAACGGATAGCGCACTCGCCCGGAAAGCGTGAGGTGCGGGTTCGACTCCCGCCTGGGGCACGACTTTTGCCCACAACTCAGCATTCTTGTGATAACATTCGGAACGCGTACTGCGGCGTTAAACAGCAGTTATCATAACAAAACAGCTTCAAAAATTATGATCTCGGTTTTTTTAATTTTAAGGCTTGAATAAAGTACAGAGTGCTCAACACTTATCTGAGTGTGTAACAACAATGTGAAACTCCAAAAGTTTATTCCAAAAGACTCAAAAGACAGTGAAAGTTTCAAAAGTTTGTT